GGGGGGAAGGGGCAGAGGTGGGGGCCACAATAATCGTCCAAATCATTTTCCTTTTAAGGCCGACGTGACGTAAAAAATGATCCGAATGTGAAGTCGTCATTTTATTTTACTGTCACCAACGAGAGCCGGAAAAACAGAAGGTGAAACGACACGCCGCAGGTCGGTGTGTGTGTGTGTGTGTGTGAGTGAGTGTGTGAGTGTGTGTGTGTGTGTGTGTGGTGTTGCCACCATCGACCGGCTGACTGATGGAGACAGGTTTTCTTTTGTTGCCGTGCGGATCAGATGCCACCGTTAGCTTCACTCGACCGTTCATTAGCCGGTGCGGAGACGCGGGCTGCGTTAATGACAGCCCACAGACGGAGCACAGGGCGCCGCGTCGACGCCGTCACCTTGAACTCTGAAGATGAAAGTATGAAACACCAGCCGGCTGCCAGGGCTGTGATTGGACGAAGGCTGAGACACTGAGGACGGACCGGGAGTGTGTGTGCTGGCCAGAACGATACGGGGAAACGATACAATGTATTGCGATATATTGCGATGTATTGCGATCTCATCTCATACTATAGACACGTTTATAAATTGAGATTTTTTTTTAACAATTTAATTATAGTAAACTCGTCATCATAGTAAGATTTGGTTGTTAATTGTTAACTAAAAAAAAATTTACAATTCAAGTTTTCCTCCACAAAGAGACGACGATTCACACTCACATTCACACCAGACACACAGTTACTGTCAGGAGCTCAACGCTTCTCACTGTAAGGCAAGGTGACTAACCGCCCATCCACCACGCGGCCCGTCTGGAGTCTACAGCATTTTTTTTTTCTCATCTCCTTCTTCTTACGAGCGACACCTGAACTCCCCTCAGGGAAAACAATCGTATTCTCACAGCCTGGAGTAAAAATCTACATTTTCTTTCACTCATGTTAAAGAAAAATAAAAACCCTTTTTTTTTTTTTTTTTTTTTTTTTGAAGTGTGTTCACATAATCTGTCAACGCGCAGACACGGTTGCTTTGATACGTCTGGGAAAACAAGTGTCAGAGAAATCAGATTTAACAGCTTGATTCATTCTGGGAATAATCTCACCTGCTGTTCACAGACGGTTCTCAAAAGACGGCTCCATCCGTCATCTGGACCGCTAAAGACGCAGTACTGTCACAGACCTGGGATGTTGTATTCACTGGATATTCACGTAGTAATGGTTACGAAGAGGGATGTTACGATACGTCGTGAGTCGGAGAAAATCGATACAAAATGCGTAACAGTTCACATCGGTTGAAATTTAAAAAAAAAATCGCGCATCCAACTGTAAGATGTAGCTGCGTTATCTTAAAAAAATCACTGGTCAGACCATGACACTCCACACTCTAGAACACTAGGTGGCAGTATGCTCCTAAAAACGTTGGTTGTCACCAACTATTAAACCCAGACGTCAGGTCCCTACGTAGGCTGAGAGACGTTCAGGTGTTGGAACAGAACGTGGGAAGAACGTGTTCCACAGACACCAACAGTGTTCTCCAGTGGAACTGTTTCCACTTCCTGTTTTTGTTTCATATATTGACAGTTAACCAGGTCAACCAGACCAGGTCAACCAGACCAGGTCAACCAGACCAGACCAGTTTGACTTTGAAAATAAAAATCGTGAATCGTATCGTGAGTTGAGGCCGTCGTCCTTAAATGAACCAACTGATCATTAAACCACATCGTTGGTTGATGAGGCCTTGATTCCAGGCCTTGAAAACAAGCTCCAGGGTTAGGGTGAGTGAGAGACAGCGGCGGACACTGGTCTTACCGTAGGTAGTCTCTCCGACACAGGATGAGATTGGCTTTGGTGTAGAGCGTGGAGCCCACCTCCCCCAGACGGCAGTCGCAGCAGGCACACTTGAGGCAGTCCTCGTGCCAGTACTTGTCCAGGGCCTTCAGCAGGTACCGATCCTTGATCTTCCTGTTGCAGCCGGCACAGCCTTTAGGCTTGGTGTCCGGCTGGACGGAGAGCATTTGTATACCTGAGAGGACGGGGGGGAGACAGGGGGGAGAGAGAGAGGGTTAAAAAAACAGCCCCAGATGAACACACACACACACACACACACACTTTACAAGTTTTAATTGTTCAAAATTATTATTTATTTTTAATGAAATAGAACAGAATAAAAAAATTACAAAATGTTGAACAAAAGAAAAAAAATATGTTTAATATAAATATAAATAAATATATAAAATGTAAATTTTATATATATATATTATAAATCATATATTTGTTGTTTTTAAAGCTGTTAAAGAGGTGGATCATTCAGAATATTTAAAAAAAATATTAAAAATATTTTATTTTTCACCAGGACGATAAAATATGTCGCTAAAAATATATAACAGAAAAAAATATTAACAATAAAATAAAAGTAAAAACGGAGACAAATCTAAGGAGTACTGCAGTGATCCGGACGAGTGAAAGTACTGCAGTATTATAGCAGTCAAATAATTATATATGAAGTGAAATCTAATTATTTTTAACACTTTTACTACAGTAGTATTTGTCCCAGATACTTTAAATGTATTTTATATCAACAGTGAATGACTGATATATTTCTCTATATATTTTGAGCCTCGGTTCAGTCTGTGTTTATAACTGACCACATGCAGAAATATTATTATTATTAATATACTACTAATATTGTTGTTAAAAATATATTTAACGACAACATTTCTCGTCCAATCAGAGCTCATCGATCCAAACACACGTCCGTCACCGCTGCGGACCGATCCGCTGAAACAGCGCCACCAACAGAACAAAAGTCTGTTTAAACAGCTGCCAATGAAAAGGTGGGGTCACATGTGTGGGGGGAGGCGGGGGGGTGAGGGTCTGTGGCCCCCACTGACAGCAGCAGCAGCAGCGTCTGTGTCTGTGGTGTCTGTGTCTGTGGTGTTGGTAGTGTCTGTGGTGTCGTTGTCTGTGGTGGCTGGGGGGTCTGTGTCTGTGGGGTCGTTGTCTGTGGTGGCTGGGGGGTCTGTGTCTGTGGTGTTGGTAGTGTCTGTGGTGTCGTTGTCTGTGGTGTCTGTGGTGTCTGTTGTATCTGTGGTGTCTGTGTCTGTGGTGTCGTTGTCTGTGGTGTCGTTGTCTGTGGTGTCAGTGTCTGTGGTGTCTGTGTTGTCTGTGGTGTCTGTGTCTGTGTTGTCTGTGGTGTCTGTAGTGTCTGGGGTGTCTGTGGGGGCTTGGGGGGTCTGTGGTGTCTGTGGTGTTGTTGTGTTCACGGCCACAGTTTCACTCTTTTCTCCGACACGTTCTTCTTTTTATTCTCTCTCTCTCTACGTGTCGACCTTCTGTGTTTGAAGGGGGCGGGGCTTCAACCAAGAAGCTTTGCAGCGGGCAGCATTGTTTGGTCCGAGCTGACCGTGGAGAGCTTTTGTGGGCCGGTGGGGAGGAGGAGGAGGAGGAGGAGGAGGAGCACGAGGAGGAGGCCCAGTGTGTCTTCAGCAGCGAGCTGGAATTAGTATTCTTCTACTATTCCCCTGGGGGGGGGGGGGGGGAAGGGGGGGGCCCCCCCCCCCCCCCTTTCCTTTGTCCCTTCTAACACACCACCACACAAAGTATTTGATAAAGTATATTTTCACTTCTTTCTGGAGCACTGGTACTTCATCCAGTCCAGAGGTACTTTGTAGTACTTTATGGTACTTTATAGTACTTTTTATACCCCGGTCCTGGAGGAACACAGAACGAGTCCTGGCTGTGGGTCCACGGCCCACATGTTGATCGCTTCACTGTATGTGGGCTACATATAAGTGGACGTGAGGTTGGAACAGCCCATCTCGTGGGCTACACATGCTAACAGTCGTTAGCCTGTTAGCCTGTTAGCTTGACCCCACACTGGTCCAACAGACCAACCCATGTGGGCCAAGAGCCTCAGTCTGGGACCCACATGGGTCACAGATACTTCAACCGTACATAACTTTATCATCAGGCTTTACAATGTATCCTCCAGAGATGGCGCTAAAAATCACATTTGGTTTATATTTATATTTATATTTATATTCTCTATTCAACAAAATCTGTTGGAAAACGTTCGACGTTAAACGTTAGAGCAGACAAATATATGTGACGGACCTTATTTGGTGTTGTCTCGGTTGTTAACCCAGATGTGTCCAAACTCATCATCATCACCTGCTGTGATGTCATTAATGTTTCATTATATCTGGGTTCAACTATGACGTCATATATATGCGCTGTAAATGATCGAGAATATTTTCCCTTGAGTCTGTTGGAGTGTGACACGAACTGAGGAAACGTCACTTCTCTGTTTGAGCCGCGGCAGTTGGTGGTGGGGGGGGGGGGGGGTTAAATGTCCAACATTCTTTCAGTTTCACTTTCATTTTTAGTCTGTAAATCAAAAATACTGATGAATTCGAGTTCTATTGTTTTTCTGTTTCTACTACTTTGGCCTGAAGTGAACAGTTTGTTAAAAAACACCGAGTGTTTCATCCGATAATCGACGACATCGACCAGTGTTTTAAGACAAACAGACGTCACTCAAATGTAGTAGTACTATAGTACTATAGTACTACTACACACTATAGTACTATAGTACTATAGTACTACTACACACGTCCATACAGTACTCTGTACACATAATAACGCAATGAAATCTTCCACCTCAGTGACTACAGTGAACCTCCGTCAATCCATCACTGAAACTGACGACACCGCGGCCGCGGCACACACTGGTAGTTACAGGTTGCAGAGCAGAGAGACTGAGACTGAGACTGAGGCTGAGTCTGAGTCTGAGACTGAAGCTGAGGCTGAGACTGAGACTGAGGCTGAGACTGAGACTGAGGCTGAG